AAGACATCTCATTGATATTCCATTTGTTATCAATATTATTGTTATTGTCAGTTCTTAATACTATTGATAATTATCATTTATTCCTGTTGTTTGTTATTATTATAATTTACTTTGAGTTTTGTTTTTCGTTAGTTACTTCTTTGCATCACTGGTTCATTCGATGATGATGGTATCTTCAAGTTTATCCTTCAGATCTTCTGCATTTTATTTGACTCACTAACAATTGCATTATATTTGTGTATATTATATTTGTCGTTTGTACATTGTTTCATGATGTAATAAATTATCACAATATTATTGAAATATAAAAAAATTACACTCATATAATTATATTCATAATCGCATGTATTATAATACTTCACGAATGCTCAAATGTTGAGTGCGAGTTAAAATTTCTTTATTTTTTGACACTTTGTGAATAAATTTTTCAATCACGATTGGTTTTTTGTGTTACATTTCACGTTCGGTTTCATAGCTGATCCGAGGATTCATAATGTGTTGTTACCTGATTGTTCACTTCTCCAAATTTTCGTCAATTCGACGGTTTTTCAAAATTTAAAGCTTTTCCTTGGTTTTATGACCGTTACTGAAGTTCCGGAATTTTTATAAATTTTTGCAGCTTCGAGGAAATGTCCCAACATCAACTTCTCAGATCAACTTCAGAAAAGAGTAATTTGGCTGCCGCCGGAGAACCATCTATGGCAGGTACTTATGTCAAGAAATCGAGGATAAAATTTGCATTAAAAGTCGCCAAAAATTCCAAATCCCACTGTCACTTTCATCCACTTCGACAAAAGTTCATAAAAACATCGTCTGTATATTGATGAAATTACGAACATTACAAAAAACTTAAATGGCCTTTTTCACTTCACTAAAGTTTGCAATCTCGAATTGTAAGGACGACAAAGCAAGCCATCAGCTGAATGAATGAGCGTAAAAGAAGTTTCAAATTCAGGTCTGAAATTATCGGAAGAGTTATGTACACCGAGACGAGCGCTAGGTGATATGAAGAATGCTTTTACGACTCCAATGAAGAGTGCAACAAAACAATCTTCTGCTTCATCATTCTCGAAAAGCTGTCATATAGTTCCTGAAATGAAACGTCCGTTGGAACTGTTCGATGTCTATTGTGAACGAGAGGAACATTGTGCTAGTGAAGTTAGTAGTTTCAATCTCTCAAAAATTTAGTGGTCATTTTATAAGATATTGTATTATTGTTATTACTGTCTTTACTATAATCGCCGTTTTTATTGTTAGTGTTTATTATTATTGTCACTATTGTTGTTATTATTATTATTATCATTATCATTATTATTATTATCATTATTATTGTTATTATTATATCATTATTATTATTGTCGTTATCATCATTTTCATGGACTATTTCCAGGGAAAGCCTGATAACATTGCACCGATTGACGACGCTGAACAACAGTTCAGAAGTATTGACCCAGATGCTCCAGTCGAATCTTTTAGCAGTGCTCCATTACCAGGTAAACAGTTGCTTTTGAAAAAAAAAGTGTCGATATAACCAAACGATAGCCACATAACCAGCCTGAACTGTTCACAAATGAAATGCTGCTCAGATACATTTGACGACTTATTGCACGATTCGGAAAACACTGTTGATGTCAGTGAAGTGTTGCGTAGTGTCACTGGAGATCCTGAATTTCGTTACGCTCTCATGTCTGGTTTATTCACAAAGGATGAATTGGATTGGCTGATCAGTGGTACGTTTTACCAACATTTTTAACAATGAAACTATTCAAGTTTTTTTGAGAAATTTGAAAATTTTGAGGGTTTAGTTGGAAATTTCTAAACGTTTAATGTTATCACTCACGAATAAAATTTACTCATGCCTTCAATTTTTTCTCAGATGAAGTGAATTATATTCAGATAAATCGCCATTCAAAGATGATTTTGAACTAACTTTGGAGGACGTTATTGGTTAGTCGCATACAGGTTACCAATGAGTCGTACGTGAGCGTATTGATGGACTGTGCTTTTGATTGTTTGTATATTTTTGAAATTGTGAGACCATATCAAAATGCTCAGCTTGGTTACTTCTGTCTATGTATCTTTGGTGTATGGTGGACTGTAACAGATTTGTATTGAAATGTTTCAAATTTGTTTCTTTTGATTCCAATCGCCTCGAATTTACGTTACATTTCATATCGTTTTATGAGCTTGATCTCCGATATCATAATCTTTATCATTCCCTTGCATATTCACGTGTCTTATGCCGTGCAATGTTTTTCCGATATGTACTTGACATAAAGTTTTATTTATATCCTCTAAGAACGGCTTGCTAATCCTTACTGTCAACGATCACGTCATAAAATCGTTTCGTTCGGTCAGCTTTCTTTATTATGACAATCAGATTAATGCTCTTTGGCTGCGCAGGATCTCATAATTGGAGCTAATGTATCCCCACCTACTTGAAACTGACTTCTGTCTTATTTCAGCGCATTTTTGACAAATTTATGGGAGGATTTGGAAAGCATTTTACTCATATTTGTGCAAAAATGGTCTTTATCAGTTTTGGATGAGTATTTTATCAGAAAATAACCTATACTAATCATGAAGTTGCTTTTTTCAACACTTTAGTTTTCTTTTCTCGTTTTATTTGCATTGTCAGATAATCAGAAAGCGATTATTTTCGGATATGTAATATTATATTGAACGTGTATCTAATCTTTAGTATCGTTCAAAGTATTGCAGCGATTAGATGTTAACAATATCACCACATCGGTTGCTTTGTGAATATATCTATTTGATTGAAATAAACTTTCGTCGAATTCTTTTTACGTATCAAAACTAGAACACGAAAGAGAGTGCAGGGGGCATGAACAGCACCTTTGCATTCATCTAATCAGCAATTACGATGTTATTCTTTATGAGTTGTTTATGCCTCTGTTATGAACACAATAACAATACCACAAGCTAGCAACCTTCATGAAAAGCTGATCCTGGCACTCTGTATACACTTCATAAGGAATTGACCAGTAATTGATGACAGTAGTGGCGATAGGTGAGAGTTCCGTTGGATCGCAGTTGGTTTATTTGATATTAACACGCAAAATACTTTTATTGCTCAAGATATTTTTTATTGCTCAAAATACCTTTTTATTGCTCATAATGGGCAGCTGATGAATCGGAATTAGTCCACAGAAGTTTTCATTAATATGATGTTTATTTATGTGGAGTTTACTTCTGAGCACTCCTCAGATTCGAAACAATCGTTTAAAACATTCCGATTCCAATGACCGAGTGCGCCTTTCGCTCGACAATATCAAAAGAATTCTCTGCGGTCGAGCATGTTCGGAACGAGATAAAATGTGGTTCGTTTAGTCACCTTATTTTCAGGTAATAAAGAGAACTCAATAATGCTTCTAGTGATACTGCTTTTGTCATTTTCCACGCAAAAATGTCATATTTCGAATTTTTTAAAACAAACATGATCAATTCTAAGCTTATTCGCTGTTCAGGTGAACTAGTGGCTTGATGGGGTGAAATTTTTTGCAACAAAATATCTAATAGCAGATGCAATTAAAATAACAAGCGCCAATCAAAAGAGATAACAACTGCAATTCTTATGCTGAATATAGAACGAATTACACGATAAATTAGCTTCCAGATCAATAATGCTGCTAAGTAGCGATCATTAATTAAAATCTCTGAATTCTATACCGAGTAGGCAATGATTGAACTTATTAAACGCGATGATCAATGAGCTGAATCGCTAAAAAGTGATACGAAGTGAGTTAACAGCATTAATCCTCCCAAATTCACCCTCAAGCCCGACGTCTCAAAGCATAAAATGAAAATATATCCATTCTAAAAACATTTCAAAAATATTTTCGCACAAACGCAACCAAACAAGCGAACAATTAGAAGAGCCAAAGACACTCAACAAAAGCATCCTTCCAACAAACATCAGCTTGCCATATTTCCAACATATTCCCAAATGCTTTCCCATATAAATATAAAATCTGTCACTTTTTTAATTTCTCAAACTTTTAATGACAGCCAAAAAAATTTTTTTCAAATATATAAAATATAATCAGAAAATCAGTCGCTTTACTCAATACTTAATCACTGCATCTCCAACAATCATTGAACACCGCTCTAAGATTCGTCTTTCCACGGATCTCTTTAAGAAAGCCTCCAGCAAGATAAACTGAAAGAATTCTTTTTTCCCGCAACATGTTATCAATGGTAACTTTAAGCACTACATACGTGACCTACACCTTCGAACTTATTTGGCACACATTATGACCGCCTTGTACTGGACGACTTTAATTTGAGAG